ACAATGTATTCATGGTATAAAAAAATGGAAAATACAGAAAAGTACCAATAGATATAATAAGAGTCAGCCATACTCTCACAACTCAAGATAAAAGCACTGATGTATATATTCTTCCCAACTTTATTTTTATTAATTTTTTTCTTTATTGATTTTAGAGAGAGAGGAAGGGAGAGGGAAAGAGAGATTGAAACATCAGTGAGAGAGAACATTGATTGACCACCTCCTGCATGCTCTTCACTGAGGATTTGGCCCACAACCTGAGCATGTATGTGCCCTGACCAGGAATCGAACCGGCAACCTCTTGGTACATGGGTCCATGCTCATCCACTGAGCCATACCAGCTGGGCTCTTCCCAACTTTTTTGAAAGTAGATATACATATGTGGGGGTTTTTTGTTTGTTTGTTTTCTGGTTGGTTGGTTGGTTGTTTTTTGTACAAAATGGGAATATTACCATTTTCCTAAACATTATTTGAGGACTGTGTTTTTCCCTCTGTGTTTGTGCCATAATCTATTTAATACTCATTTGTTTGATATTTATTTAGATTATGTTTCTAGTTTTTCAATATCAAAAGGCCCAGTGACCATTGTCAAAGATATATTTTTGGACATAGCCATGGTTGTTTTTGCAGAAGTATTGTTGCTGGGAGATTGTATTGCCAGATTGTTTTCTGGGTACATTCATGGGCTTCTACAGTCAATTTCAGAAACAAAGGGCTAGTCCTAGAGTTTTAGTTTTTACTTACCAATTTTTTTCTTAATGTCATAAGGTCTAAGCATCTTACTTTTGGGTGAGCAGTTCTGGGCATTCTCTTAGAATCTTTTTCACTCTTTAAAATTCTTTATTATTAAATCAAAATTAATATCTGTTAATATTTGTGTGATACAGAAATATTTTTATTAGAAATTTAAATAGTACAGGTAAAGGAAGAGTTACCCTTGATAAACATTCCCTTCAGTTCTACTCCTCTTTTCTTTTTCTTTTTTTTTTTTAAACATTAATTTATTTAATTTTTTTTTATCCTCACCCAAGGACATTTTTGCATTCATCTTCAGATAGAATGGGAGGGAGAGAGGGGGGAAGAGAGAGACAGAAACATGGATGTGAGAGACATCAAGTAGTTACCACCCACATGACCACAACTGGGGTGGGGACAAACTGCAACTGAGGTACGTGCCCTTAGTGGGAACTGAACCTGGGACTCTCTGGTCCGCGGGCCGACACTCTAACCGCTAAGCCAAACCACCAGGGCTCTACTCCTTTTTTCAAGGATATTCACTGTTATAAGAGATATGGATACTTTTAATTCTTCCTTCTATGTATGTATAGAGGTGAGGGATGGCCTGTATAAGTAAAGAATCCTACTTTATGGAAATCCATTTATCGCGGTAGAGTCTGGAACTGATTAGCCACGATAAACGAGGGCCAACTGTATATATGTATAATTCTACATCTAGAAAATAATAGCTAATTATAATTCTTTAGGTTTTTTCATGTTAGTGTATAAATTGTTGCATAATAAATATATGATTCTATGGATGTACTATAGTTTGATAGTTTTCTTATTTTTAGGCATTAGACTATTTCCTGTATTTCACTTTTACAAACGGTGTACATGTTCCTCTTTGGATACATGTTCAAGTTTTGCTCCATGTTACTTACCTAGAAATAGAATTGTCTGGTTAAAGAATCTGCATTTAAAGTATTATTATCAATAAAGTGAAATAATTTTTGGACAACACATAATTGCATACTTTTCATTTTGTCAGGAAAGGGCCTAAAAATATTACTGAATATTGTCACTGTCATTTCACAAAAGGACATTTTAACACCTGAATATATTTACTTTCATGAAAATCACATAGCTGTCATTATTTTTCTCATTTAACATAGAGTGTTGAAAATTTTCACACAGGCCATCTTGGTTTGCAGTAGAAAATTGAGAATAATTGTTGTAATTTATTCTTTTGCATATAAACAGCCAAAGAAGTTACTCTTGTACTTTTGGGAATACTATATACTTAGAACTGACCCATTCTTGTAGTTGAGAAATTAGTCCCTAAATACTGTCTTCATGCTAGTCTGTGTGAATACCAGAAGTAGAAACCATATGTTATTTTGTAAGCTTACCACAGGAACATACGTTGGGTCCCAATACTAGATGAGTCAGACTCAGGCAGTACTAAGTATAGAACTAAGAGCTCAGGCCAGAGAGTCTAATGTTTAGATCCACACTCTGCTTTTGACTTCATAGGCATGCTTTTTTTTTTTAATCCTCACCTAAGAATATTTCTCTATTTATCTTCAGATAGAGTGGGAAGGAGGGAAGCAGGGGGAACATCGACTGGCCACCTCCTGCATGCCTGCCTCTCGGGATCGGGCCCACACCCTGGGCATGTGCCCTGACCGGGAATCAAACTAGCGACCTCTTGGTACATGGGTCGACGCTCAACTACTGAGCCACACTGGCTGGGCTTATCGATCTTATTTTAAAGGGTCCTTGAATATTTGAGAAAGAGTGGGGAAAGGTATGACAACAAGGAATACAGTAGAAGCAAAGCAGTGCCTCTAAATTAAGACCATATTTGTGGCCTGGATTACTGTAGACTGGTGTAGATATGAGCTTTAAGAGCAATAATGGATGAGAGATTAGATTGAATGGAGCACAGCATTTGTTGTTAACCCTCACCTGAGGATATTTTTCCATTGATTTTTAGAGACAGTGGAAGGGAGGGTTGCGGGGGGAGAGATAGAGAGAGGAAGTTCGATGTGAGAGAGCACATCGATTGGTTGCCTCCTGCACGGCCCCATCTGGAGCTGGAGATCAGACCTACAATCCAGGTTCGTGCCCTTGACTGGGAATCAAACCTGTGACCCTTCAGTTTGAGAGCTCTAACTGCTGAACCAAACCGGCCAGGGCTGGAGCACAGAAGTTTTAAGTGTGCAATCAGTATATTGTATTTGGATGTCAGCAGCCTGTAGTCTGTGGAAGAAGTTAAGAAGACCAGAGCTGCAATTTAGGATTTACATAGAATTTAGAGAAGATACAGGAGAATAGAATGTTGAATGCAGTGTTACTTAAAAAGCTAGTCAGAGGTGATCTCAGGTGTCCTTGAGAATTCTTTGAATTATCTAAATGTTAGTTTCTGTCATTGATATATAAAACAAGGTCCTTCTGATTCAAAAGAATGCTTTTTTTTAGGATACCTCTCATTGCTGTCTCAAGCAAAGGAATACCAGTATTCTCATGGATTCTAGTTTGTGAGGGTGGGATATGAAATGACCTGTGGGATTAAGGTAAAATAATTCACAGAATCTTGCCCTCTCAAACATGTCCACAGCCTAAAAATGTTTGATGAATTCAGGTGTGGTCAAGTCCTTCTGATTCTTCAAAGCAACTTTGCTAAGAATGTTCATTTCGTAGAAGGTAGTAGATCCCTAGAGACCAGGACAGGACATTTTACCTAGAAGACAAATTGTATATTGGGCTGTAGGACTCATGAAACCCTTGTCTGTTTCAGACGCTGACTGGAAAGGAGATTGAGATTGACATTGAACCCACAGACAAGGTAATACCCAACACCTCTTCATGCCTGTCTCCTGACATGTGCATTTGTTTGGATATGCTGATGAACTTAGTCCTTTGCTTTCATGCTATCTGCATAGCTATGTTCTTTCCACTTCCATGGTCCTGCCCCTACCTACCAGGGGTAGCCCCTGACTACTTGTACCCCTAAAGGTGGAGCGAATCAAGGAACGTGTGGAAGAGAAAGAGGGAATCCCCCCACAGCAGCAGCGGCTCATCTACAGTGGTAAACAGATGTGAGTTTTGAATGGGAATGAGGGTGTGGCAATCTTACTGAAGATAAGGGAGCAAATACTGGAGATGGAGCAGCCTGCTTCTTTTTATTGGACCCTTTGGCAATTTAGTGAAGCCTATGAACCCCTTTTCAGAATAATATTTCTTCAGACATAAAGTAAAATACATAGAATTACAGAAGAAACTAATTATATTGGAATACAGTTATCAAAATACTAAAAAGGCAAGTTTGTAATATATGTGTTTTTTATTAATACATTAAGAGCTAATGGTGGGTCTAATACTACCATAACTTTGAAATATTTTCAAGATACCTGCAAACAATTCTAATATGATATGAAAATATCTAATTTCTATTGTTAATAGGTTACCCATATTACTAATACTACTGTGGTTTTACTTAAGTTCAAAATTTAAGGAAATAATCAGCTTTCTATGCATGTATGTATGAACAATGGACATGGACAATAAAGGTGGGGACAGGGCGGAGAGGGGGCAATCAGTGGGGGGAAAAAGAAACATCTGTAACAAAAATTAATATAAAAAAAAGAATCAGCTTTCAGTTTGGGGTTAGTAAAAATAAAGATGTAATTTTTTTTCTCATCTGAGTTCATAGACCCCTGGGTAGATCCATGAAACCCAGATTAAGAGCCCTGTTCTGGATGATTTTTCTAATCCTTTTTGTTCCTTCTTTTCCTGCAGGAATGATGAGAAGACAGCAGCTGATTACAAAATCCTAGGTGGTTCAGTCCTTCACCTGGTGTTGGCTCTAAGAGGAGGAGGTGGTCTTAGGCAGTGATGGACCCTCTCTCCATTTTACCTCCTTACCCTGTCTCTTGTAATGAGGCATCATATATCCTGTCACTCTCTGGGACACCAGAGTCACTGCTCCCTCTCCTGGATGCCCAGTCTTGTGTGTCTACTGATGGGAGACTGTGAGGACCCCAGGATGCAGTGTTCCTGGCCCAAAGGGCCCTTGCTGGCATTTGGGTTTTAGTTTGTAGTCCTGTGTGCTTCCCTCTCTTATGGTTATGTCCCTGGTTGTCAATAAAATATTCCCTGGCCTTCTGGAATCTTTCTTCTGTTACACAAATATGGCTGAAATAATGGACTCAATACACACTCAGTTATACCAGGCCGAAAGAGTAGGACAATGGAAGGGAATGTGCAGACTTAGAATGATCAGACTCTCGGTGGCGGTGGTGTACTGGAGCCAGCTCTTACCAGTTCATGAGAGCTAGTTACTGGCATCTCTTTCCAACCCCATGTTAAGTAATTTCATGTTGGTAGCTTGAAATTGGCAATGGTAGGAATATTTCTAGAAACTGGCAAAACAATGCATATCGGTCCCTCCATTCAAACTTGTTGTTATACATCTACCATCATACTACTGGCATGGGTGGTAGAAACCAGGAAAGTGAATTCTCTCCCTACTGGACATTTGGGCCTAATTTGAGAAAGACTTGAAGGGTTTTACAGATACCACATTGTTTATGGCTGGAATATTGCCAAGGGCTCTATACTATGGAAAGACGCTGATAGGAACAAAAGTTGAGTGAGGAGTGACACAAGCTATGATGGGTCATTTAGGTCTTGGTTGGTAAGATGAATGATAGGCGGATGCCAGAAGAAAGATACTCCTTTCCCTGGCGTCTCTAGCAGAATCTGGGGAGGCTGAGTGAAGTAGAGCAGTAAGGAAAGGAGAAACTAGGAGACCACTGTGGTTCTGTGTACTGTCGCGTTGGCACTTGCTGTAGTCTTTTCCCCCTCCACCATCAGATGGCGCTCTTGCGTGGTCTCAGGGCTGACCACCACAGCCTGGCGTGATGACTGCAAAGGCTGCCGCCGGTATAGAGCCTCTATGGCTCTGGAGAAAGCCCCGCCTCTGTGGGCTGTGCACTCAGCTTGCGGCGCTGGTGATGGCGCAGCTCCCGAGGCTCGCCGTCTTCGATCTGGGTAAGGGACCCTACCGAGGAGAGTTTCGTAGGGCATTCTCCTTGTCCAAACCCCAGCTGCATCTCTCGAGGCTCTGACCCCTCCAAGCTGAACCCTCCTCTTCCTTCCTGGCGCAGATTACACGCTCTGGCCATTCTGGGTGGACACACACGTAGATCCCCCATTCCACAAGAGCAGGTGAGGCCAGGCTGGGGAGGACTGGGGCCAGGGTGTCGGGCCGGAGCTGAGCGCACTCTTGCTTCTCCAGTGATGGAATCATACGAGATAGGCAAGGTCAGACCATCCGACTATACCCAGAGGTGCCCGAGGTCCTGGACCAATTTCAGGGCCTTGGGGTGCCCATCGCAGCCGCTTCAAGGTAAGAAAAGCGAATGGGGAAAAAACTGTCAGCCTAACGTTGACAGATGCATGCGTGAGACTTCTCGTGTAATCCCTTGTTTACAAAGTTTTAGTGCAAATTTGCAAGTATTATACATTTCTTATTATTATTTTGGTACATGCCCTTAGCAGGAACCAAACCCGGGCCTTTCTGGTCCACAAGCCAACTCTCCAACTGCTGAGCCAAACCGGCCAGAGCTTATTTTTATTTTTTAAATTTATTTTTGTTACAGATGTTTCTTTTCCCCCATTGACACCCTCTATTGTACATTTTTAAAATTATGGCTTACTGTGCCTTTTATTTATTAAACATTAGCTCAGCGCCACCTGTGTCAGACAGGAAGGCTATGGAGTAAAATAAGGGCTCAGGAAGCATATCCATCCATCCTGGAAAAATAGCAAGTTGATTTCCTCCTGGTTATACATAACTTCACGTGCAGCTCTGGCCCTCCACTCTCCTGACCCCATCTACTACACCTTTTTGCAGGACAGGTGAAATTGAAGGGGCCAACCAGCTACTGGAGCTCTTTGACCTTGTCAGATATTTTGTTCAGCGGGAAATCTATCCAGGCAGCAAGGTCACACACTTTGAGAGGTACGAGGGAGATGAGAGCAGAAGCAGGGGGAGAGAAGAGCGGAGAGACGAGGAGCTAAGAAGCCAGCGTGGTTACCCCTTGCCCTGTCTTGCACAGGCTGCGGCAGAAGACTGGAGTTCCTTTCTCCCAGATGATCTTCTTTGATGATGAGAAGCGGAATATTGTAGATGTCAGCAAACTGGGTACTGCGTGGTGAGAACAACCACTTGGGAAAGGGGGAGAAAGTGTTCCTAGGAGGAGTTAGGTATCAAATGATCTCTCTTTTCTTTCTAGGGGTTACCTGCATTCATGTCCAGAATGGAATGAGTCTTCAAACCCTAAATCAAGGATTAGAGACATTTGCAAAGGCCCACGGTGGACCCTGAGGTCCAGTCCTGTCGATGAGTCTCATGTGAGGCATAAAACTAAAGGGAAACAGGAAGGCATTTTCAGGTGCATGTGCAAATTATTAAAATGTATTTATGTGTGACAGAGAAATCGTACCCACAGTGTGGAGTTGTTTTTCTCGAGTGTGAATCAGTGTTGGCTGTCCAGAGTTGCCAAGACCAGAGCGTAAGGCATTAGAGTTCTGCCTTCCAAACTTGTGGCAAACCCAGACTGTCAGGACTGTGATCTCTTTGTGCTTGCCTCATCCCAACACCCTCTCCTGTGAGTTGTCAAGGGCATGAACCAAATCTTCCAATGGCCCTGGTTAGCAGCGTTCATTACCCTGCACATCTCCTTCCAGAAAACAGACTTTGAGGGCAATGTGGGAGCGGCCTCTTTATACTCTTAAAGTGAAGCGGCAGCTTTAAAAGGAGTGTGTGGGGTGATGGCTCGAGTCACGTGCTAGAAGTGGCCTCCTTAGCGCCTGTTGATGATGTCACCAAGGTGCTCCAAGAAGGGATTGGCCAGGCCAGTCTCTGAGTGATAATATGAACTCTCCCAGGAACAAGGCGGAAGTGTGCAGGGCGCCGGGGGGCGGGGCAGAGGCGGGAGAGGCCAGGGTCGTGATGAGTGGTCTCGCCGACTTCGGGAGGGGTGAGCACCGGTGATACTGGTCCCCGGCTGGGAGGCGCTGCCCCCAGCGGGTTGGGGGAGACCACGACCCTGGGCGGGAAGAAACACCGGAGACAGTCTTTCCCGAAAATCCTGGTGATGGGCCAGCAAGGCCTTCAGTGCCAGGAGGCCCCACCCTGTCAGGGAACCAGGCTCTGTCTGCCTTCCTTCCGCCACCCGGGAAAGAAGTGCTCGAGGCTCCGGAACGGACGCGGGTGGAGGACGTGGCAGATCTGCTGGCTCCCCCTGTTTAGGTTTGGGCGACCAGTTTCCAGTTCTTCCCAAACTTTTGGTGCTCTCTTGATGCTGGGCAAGAGGGAATCTGAGGAGACGAAGAAAGGGGCCTTCTCAAAGCTCCTATCTGATGGGGGCAGACAGCAAAAACTGGCATTTACGATATGATACAGTGTAGCACTATATGGTGATGTTCATGAAAACCAGAGGAGCACTGAAGAAACAGGCGTCGGGGGTCCACAGGCTAGAAGTATGCCAGGTGGAGAATTGAGATACCCCAGGAAAGGGTAACTGTGTGCAAAACAGAGGCTGGACCGAGAATGGTTATATTTAGGGGAAAGAGTAGTTTTTGTTGCCCCATGAATGTGTGTGTGCACTGAAGGAAAGGAAGAAAGTAGAAGTGTAGTTGGAGGGGTAAACAAGGGCCAGAAGGACCTTGTGTGTCTCATTTTTAAAGTTTGGATTTATCCTGTAGGCGGTAGAGAGTATGGAAGTGTTTTAAGCAGAAAAGGGCCATCAGATTTGGGGGACAGAGGGAAATAACTTCAAAGTGTAGAAGATGAAAGAAAAGTTGAGATCACATTGTTTTATTCTCTAGCCCCTGTACTTCATTCAATTTGAACCTGTGGTGTCCGGACCTAGGATAGCAAGTGGAACAGTGATTATAAAAAGTGACGGAATTCTGGTGGGCAATGTGATAATGGGGAGGCTGTGCATATATGGGTTCAGGGGGCATATGCAAAAATCTCTGTACCTTTCACTCAGTGTTTTTGTGTGTGTGTGTGTGTTTTTAATCCCTCACCCGAGGATATTTTTTACTTACTATCAGATAGAGTGCGAGTAAGGAAGAGAGAGAGAGACAGAGAGAAACGTAGATGTGATAGAGCCACATCGACTGGTTGCCTCCTGCACTGCACGACACAACCAAGGATGGGGTGGAACCACAACCGAGGTACATGCCCTTAACCATCATTGAACCCAAAACTCATTGGTCCGAGGGTCGGCGCTCTAACCGCTGAGCCAAACCAGCCAGGCCACTCAATGTTGATGTGAACCTAAAACCGCCCTAAAAAATAAAGTCTGGGCCCAGCCAGTGTGGCTCAGTGATTGAGCATCGACCCATGCACCAAGAAGAGTCACCAGTTTGATTCCTGGTCAGGGCACAAGTCCAGGTTGTGGGCCCAATCCCCAGTGAGGGGCATGCAGAAGGCTGCCAATTGATGTTCTCTCTCATTGATGCTTCTATCTCTCTCTCCCTCTCCTTTCCTCTCTCTAAAAATCAATAAAGAAAAAAAAAATTTTTTTTTAAAGAAAGTCTAAATTTTTTTAAAAGACTGGAAATGACTTGAAAGGCAGCTTGGATAGCGAAAGAATACTGGCTTTGGAAGTCATACATTTCAATTACTAGCTGTGATTTTAGACAAATTTTAGTATCTTTGTGTCTGTTTTCACATTTGTAAAGTGAAGATAGTACATTCATCATAGAGTCATTTTGGGATTAAAATAACACAGTCAAATGCCTAGTACATACTGTACACTCTATGATTGGTGGTTAATTTTTTTTCCTTCACACAATATGGTCCTTCTCCATTGGACTCCAGGGAAGGAGAAAGGGCCGACCCCTGAAAAGAGGCCATACAGAAACTAAAGGAGACGGAGAAGATACTGATCAAGAAACAGGAGTTTCTGGAGCAGAAGATTCAACAGGAGCTACAAACAGCCAAGAAGCATGGGGCCAAGAATAAGAGAGTGATAGGGGAAAGGTGCCAAAAGGGAGGACCCAGGTGGGAAGCAGGGGCTCTGGCTCTGATGTTCAAGGTGTGGGCTGGGTCAGCTGCCCTACAGGCTTTGCGGAGGAAGAAAAGATTAGAACAGCGGCTGGCACAAACTGATGGGACATTGTCCACCCTGGAGTCTCAGCGTGAGGCCATTGAGAATGCTATCACCAATACAGAAGTGCTTCGCACCATGGAGCTTGCTGTCCACGGCATGAAGAAAGCCTACTAGGACATGTGGGTATGGGGGAGAGGTGGAGGGGGCCCAGGCACTGGGGAGAGTAGCTTGGTATTGTACTTTGGATCTTAAAACCTCTCAGAACATGAGTTTACAGTATAGACATCTATGATGGCTGGACCTCCATCAGCCTCCTTGTTTCCTGTAAGAATATCTCTTTTCTGGCTAGGGCATTCTATCAAGGAAGATTATTTTCCTAAATTTTAAAGATTCTTCAGAGAAAGGAGTGCAATCTACCGCCAACACACACACACACCCAGTGTGGATTCTTGCCATTTCTCAGCCCCGACTTACTTACAAATTTTCAGGGATCTCTTCTTATACCTGGTAGCCATGGATTTAGTCTGAGGCCACAGACAAGGGGCTTCATTCATGTGAGATGAGAAAGTCAGGAAGGTAGTTGCCTGATTTCTTGGCTATATATCTTCTCAGGGACATTGACAAGGTGAATGAACTGATGGCCAACATCACAGAACAACAGGAGGTGGCCCAGGAGATCTCTGATGCCATTTCTCGGCCTGTGGGCTTTGGAGATGATGTGGATGAGGTGACTGGGGGGGAGGGGTTGGAAGTCTTGGAGAAAGCATGGGACCAGCCAAAAGCAATGCTCAAGAGCATGGTGGGGCAAGTTTAGGGGGAAACTCCAAAAGTGATGTGTTTAGAAGCAGAAGATTCCTTTCTTCATCTTGAAATCTTGTCATCCACTGTCCAGGATGAACTGTTGGAGGAGCTAGAGGAGTTGGAGCAGGAGGAATTGGCCCAGGAATTGTGACACGTGGGTGACAAGGAGGAAGAACCCCCTTTCAAACTGCCCAGTGTACCCTCTACACATCTGCCTGCAGGGCCAGGTACCCAGGGCTGTTCTGATGTCTCAAGGACTTGAGAGGGTGGGAGATATGGGGAAAGATTGTTCCTCATCCATCCTGCCTCAAAGGAACCAGGCGGAAAGGACTGCTGCTGAAGTTGCACAGGTTGTTGGCTGCATAAGGGAAATCTAGCCTGCGCTCCACTCAGCACACTGTGTATTCTGGTCTAGGGCTGCAGATGGTGGGAGCAACAGATACCTTTTTAAATTAGCACAGATACGGGATTAGCAGCAGCCCAACAAGCAGAAGGACCACACCTTTAGGTTCTTTGCCGGGGAGAGATAATTCAGCAGGTTGTAAGTGTTGTAGCAAGGGGTGGTTGGAAGGTGCTGAGGCTTTAACACATCTTTCTCTGGGTATCCTTGTCCCCAAAGTTCCCAGAGCAGATGAAGATGAAGAAGCACTAAAGCAGTTGGCTGAGTTGGTATCCTGATGAGTCTGGGCTTATCTTCCTGATGCTGCCTTCGTTGGTCTCTTTTCCTTAAGTGCAAAGTGCTGAGCTAAAGGAACATAGCCTTTTTGGGAGGCCCTGCTCAGGGTGGTGGTATAGCCCTGCCTGAGAAAGGGCCTGTTGCCTTTCCATCCCTGACTCAACTCTGAAGAAGGATCTTGGTGCAGGAGGATCCCCTGAGCTCCCTTCTCTTTGACAGCAGTTACAGTGCCCTTGTTCTCAATAAAATTGGATAGATGGAACCCTAGTGCTTATACTGCCTTGTCTATACCTGAAACTCTTCCCCTGGTCCTTGGAGCTTTGCTTCAGGCAATGAATAACAACAGGAATAATGAAGGGGCATTGGAACACAGAACAAATGATTCCAGTATCTTACCTACTAGGTTCATCTTTCAAGTTGGTTTGTCCTAGAATTGCCTAGTACTGAGGTTGAGGAAACTGCCATCTATTATCTTAGAACTGGAGCTGTCTCTATATCTTTCCTCAACACCTTTCCCCGGTCAGCCTCTGCCACAACAGCCCCATGATTTACTACCCATTTTCCTTTTGCAAAGCCCATTTTCAAGGACAGGGAGGGAGACTACAGGGACAAAGGGACAAGTAGCTTTCCTTTATCCAGAACCCATAGTTAGTAGACTTGGTTTGAACTGTCACTTCTGTGTCTAGGAGCAATAGTGTGAGGGGCTGTGAGTCACTAGGATTATTTCAATAGTGAATTTAGAGGAGTGAGAAGGAATGATGATACTTCACATATCCTCATACCCATTTCTAAAAGAACAAATAGTGCTGTCCATTACTAGAGACAGAGACAGAGCCATGACCAAACAGAGCACCAGGGCCTCTACCCTGTGACTTGAACATTTAAAGTGCAAAGAGAGTCCCTGGCCAGTTTGGCTCAGTGGTTAGAACGTCGTGGTCCAGAGAGACCCGGGTTTGGTTCCCGCTAAGGGCACGTACCTCGGTTGCAGTTTATCCCTGGCCCTGGTTGGGTCGTGCAGGTGGCAGCCACTCGATGTGTCCCTTTCACGTTGATGTTTCTCTCTCTTCCTCTCTCCCTCCCATTCTATCTGAATTTAAAAAATGGAAAAATGTCTTCAGGTGAGGATAAAAATAAATAAATAAGTAAAGTGCAAAGAGATGTAGAATAATGAATATGTACTTAGAATAATGAAGCTTCCCTAAAGCAGGTGTTCATCGGAGCACCCCCTCCCCCGAGAGCCACATATGAACTACACTGTGAATGACAATGTGGACTTAAGAGCTGTCAAGATCACCCTGGCCAGTTTGGCTCAGTGGTTGAGCATCAGCCTGCGGGCCAGAGAGTCCCGGGTTCGGTTCCCGCTAGGGGCATGTACCACCAAAACAACAACAACAAAAAAAAAAAACAATAAAAAAAAATTCTTTAAGAAAAAAAAAAAGAGCTGTCAAGATTACTGGTCACAGGCTCTGGGCAGAAATCCACCTTTTACCCTTAGCAGTCTTCCTTGCTAAGGTTCCCCTTAGGAAAGAATGTCTTTGACCCCAGCTGATGAAACTAAGTCAGAACTAGATTTATTTTTGATATAAAAGATTTTTAGCCCCAGACTCCTCCTGCTTTGCTCCTCTCAACACACCTCAGCCACTTTCAGGTATTGATTTCCACGGATTGGTGACGGTTTGCTGTGCTGGGCGGCTGGCACATGTTCTCAAGCAACCTGATCTCATGGGTGGCTTGCTCAGGCTGGAACTTGAGCACCCAGGGATCCTTGATAATGTCCAGGATGGTGGCACGCTTGGGGGCTTGGCGTAGTGTCTGGAAGATCATATTCTAAGGCAGGGGAGAGAGAGGTCTTGGCTGAGCCTCCCATTGTGCCACACAGATAATGAACAGGAGACCTAAGAAAGAATGAGGATAGCCCATCACACCACTCTGATGGAAGGGGTGTGGCCCTGATTTTCTCCTGAAGAGCCAGGCCTTTAACTCCCTGGAGGGGAAGAGAAGTATGGATTCCTTGGGGGAATCCCTTGCATAATCCCCTTCTAGCCTAAAAAGATAAAGATGAATCCTGCTCACCACTCACATTTAAGGTGTGGAGCTCAGTGGTTGGCCCTTTACGCCCTTCCCACTATTCTAGGTCTGGGGCTAGAGTGTGAGGTGGCTCTGCTAAGGAAGAGCCTTGTCCAGGATTGGGAGGCCTAGATTGGATTCCCTTCCTGTGAGTCATCCCTGAGTCCTCGGTCCTATTAGGGGAACCAGTACCTTGCACTCCTGGGAGATGGTCAAGTTGGGTGGAAAAGTGACCTCCTTCCGAGTCTCCTTCAGCAGCTTCTTGAGATTAGTGTCATCAAAGGGCAGACGGGCAACCACTAGAGTGTAGAGGATGACGCCCATGCTCCAGGTGTCAGACAGGAAAGGGTTGTAGGGCAAGCCTAACAAGATCTCTGGGCAGGCATAAGCAAAGCTGCCACAGTAGGTCTTGCTGAGGTGAGTAAAGCAGTTCATTTGGTGGGAAGGGCTATTACGCACATTATGGTTAGAAGGCACTATCTTGGCGAAGCCAAAGTCTGATATCTTCACGTTCTCCTGCTTGTCCAGCAATAGGTTCTCCAACTTTAAGTCACTACCAGAAGCAGAAAGGCTGGGGGTCAGGAAGAGGGCTTAGTATTAGACCCAGAGCTGAAGGGCCAAGGGTCAGAGGCTAGAGATGAGGAAAGGCGTAGTGGGAGAGGTGCCATTGTGAGAATACAAGGTAGAGAAGAAGGAAAGCTATGGCATTGTGAGCAGAGCCCAAAGAGAAAGAGGATGGTACCTGAGGACCCATGGGAGCTCACCTTTTCATAAAGTGCTCTGCTAACTGGGTGGATGAATGGGCCTAGATACTGAGGAGGGAAGTCAAAGGAGGCAAACAGGACAGGAAATGGGAGATGTACATAAAACCCCCTTGAGAGCCTAATGGCCCCAGTCTGGGTGGCAGCACACTCACCGGTGCACAATGCCCTTGCTATGCAGGTAGGCGATACCCAGGGTTATCTGGGAGAACCATTTGCCAGCAAGGGGCTCAGAGCAGGCCCCATAGCACTGGATCCATTCAAGGACGTCACCACCCTGAGCCAGCTCCAGAATTATGTACACTCGGGATGTGGTCTCGATGGCCTGATAGAAGTTGATGAGGTACTTGTGCCGCAGAACCTTCATTACCTGGCCCCAGAAGAGGAACCCATCAAACCTGAGAAGGGAAAATCCTGGATGTGCTGCTAGCCCCCCTACTCTCTGAGTGCTACTTCATAGAACTTTGCAATAGGATCAACCCCGAGAGGACTGGTGGCCTGTGGGGAAACGCTGTGCTATATACCTTTTGAAGGGCTGGAGGTGAATGGGTGGGTGGGTGGAAAGAGGCTAAATTTATATCAAGTAATTTTCCTAACTGTATACTGAGACATTCAGTTCTGGTTTGGGGGTTTCTGGCCCCACCCCCTCCTAACCATACCCTTTCTGAGAAGCCTAAGCAGCTTGGTACCAGTTCCCTCTTCCAGTCCCCTTTCCAACCTGTATCTCACGGGGCAGGAACCTGTTAAGATAGTCCTCAGAAGCCTTCTTCTTTGAGATGATCTTGACAGCCACCATGACCTTCTGCTTTCTGCTGTAAGCCTCGTAAACTGTCCCATAGGAGCCATTGCCAATGCTCTTGCCCACCTCATAACCGTACTCCTCCATGACAAAGCGGTTGGCTGTGGGGGGTTGTGCTACCTCCTGCGTGTCTCCCTTCCCCATGGTGCTGAGCTTACTGAAAGCAGGGAGCTTTGCTACTTAAAAGCCTGTCTACTCAGAAAGCCAACACCTTGAGCCACTGAGGGATATGGTACCAAAGTGAAGTTAGTCTACAAATGCTTGACTGTGTAGTCACAGCTCTGAGATGCTGGGTTTAGCTCTCCACTGGGAACTTGGAGGGGGAAAAAGGGAGAAGGAATTCTTTGTCTCCACTAGTTGTTACATCTTTTTCCTCTTGGTTACGGAATTCCCTAAGGTCCCATGTTCCGAACACATCACAATTCACCTTCTATTCACCATTGGTCACAAGGCTTGAGAATGAAGTGCAGTATGGAACATATTCATTCCTGGAGGCACCTTCGCAGTCTGGTGAGACTCCCTTCATAGATTTGGTCCCTTCTCATGTTTGAGTACCTACTACATGCCAGGCAGTGTGCTGAGTATTGGGATAAAATAAGTAATGAAGACAACAGACCCTGTGCTCCTAGATTTTATAATCCAGCATGAAAAACATGAGTGTGAGAATAGTAAAGAGAATTGCACGATATTGTAGAAGAATGTTCTAAAGAATCTAACTTTAAAATTCATACTTGGTTCTTTTGGGACATATAACAACTTTTTTTTTTTTTTTAATTGAGCTAGGCTTAGTTGGGGGTTCATCTGGTGGTCTCATCTCAGCTGGGATAATTTGTTTCTGCTGCATATGGTCTCATTATCTGGCAGACTAGCCTGAGTTCCCTCACATAGTGGCACTGCATTTCAAGAGAGAAAAAAATCACAAGTTGCATGGCCTATTGAGGCTAACTCTAAAATCACAAAGCATCACTTCCATACCTTTATGTGAGTGAAGACAATTTCAAGGTTACAATGGCCACTCAGATTGAAGGGGTGCAGAAGTAGACTCCATCTCTTAACCTTGAAATGCATTCTTATTTTGCCTTCCATGACCCTAAACTCTGTACTTCACCCTTCAGTCCAAGGCATACATTTGATTTTATTTCCATTTAAACAATTTAATGTGTCCCCATTCTCCTCAGGATCAAGTGCAAATTCTTTTATGTGGCTTCAGGATCTGACCCTGCCTACCTCTCCAATTTTACCTTCTAACATACACACTGCTACAAACAGAACTGCTTTTCTTTCATTGTTCCCTCTGTTCTGGCAAACTTCTACTCTCCCTTTAGGACTTAACTGATGAGCTGTTTTAAGGAAGACTTTACCGACTGCTCAAGCCCAAATTAGATGTTCCCGCCTCCTGGATGCTCCCACCCAATACTTCTCTGTCACAGCACCTACTGTAGTGTTTGTAATTGCTTTTCTTACTTGCATCTCCCACTAGGCTATGAGGGAGGTCAAATGACAGGACGAAGTAAGGGGTTTGAAAATGGGTTGTGGATAATGGGAGAGAGCTGATATGGAAAATGGGCAGGATCACTGGGCAGCATCACTGGGCAGCACCGAGGGCCCAACTGAGGTTGGAGAACACAATTTAGAGACACATTATCTTTTCCATCACCATTTATCACCTCTATACCCTGTTCCATCTCCATCTATCCCTCTCTACCCCCACCCTAAGACATGCGATCTTAACGCATCAGTGTTAAGCTTCTTTCAGCATCCTGGATATAGGTGCTTGCATATTGACAGATGAATTAACCCAAGATTAAGGTTTCGCTTGGCAGCTGCAATGAAAGAATGCAGGCATCAAGAACACAGGCAAGGCCCTGGCTGGTGTAGCTCAGTTGGTTGGAGCACCATCCCCTACACCAGAAGGTGGCGGGTTCAATCCCCAGTTGGGGCATGTGCAGGAAGCAACTGATCAATGTTTCTCTTTTTCTCCCCCTTCCTCTCTCTAAAATCAAATTTTTTAAAAATTAAAACACACACACACTGCAAATGATGGAATGCAGAATCTAAACTGTATGGGTTAGGAAAACAAGACAGAAAAAGCCAAAGGGGCAAGGGGAGCAGTTCTAGGTCTCAGTGAAATGGGAAGAACAAATTGATGGAATGACAGGACAAGATTGTGATCATAGAGGGGCTGTCTGGATTTAATCTTTGGGGAGAGGGGCAGGGGCCACATAGAGTTAAAAAACAAGGGAAGAATGAGATGTCTTATATCTTCCATCCCCCAAAATAAAACAAAAAATTCCAGCAGATGATGCCATAGGCTATTGGTAAATTCCAATTTACTAACAACCTGATTGATCTAGCTGGAGGATGGCTCCAAGTCCTGTAGGACACTGGATCTACATCCTCAATCTGTCAAGATGAGCAGTTGTCCAGAGCACACTGTGATGAGGTGGGGGTAGAGAGGAGGGGTAACCACTTCATTCGAGGAATGTGTAGTAAGTTGCCTACTATATACAAAAGCACTGCTAGGTCCTGAGGATACCAAGATGGATAAATTTCTGTAAGAAGTTAGCAATTAACAAGGGAGACAGACACATAAGAAGTAAAACAATACAGTGAGATAAAGTACTACAAACAAAGCCTGAAAGAAGATGTAAGGGAAGGCTTTATAGAGAAGGTGGCACTTGAACTGTTCAAAAGAAGTCTCTAGGCAGGTAAGTAGGAAATAGTAGATTGGGCAGTTTAGGCAGAAAGGACCACATAAGGCTTGCAGGCTTGACAGAACATGACATTTAGAATTTCTATTTGAGTCCTGGCCACATAGCAGTTGGTTAGAGCATCATCCTGATACACCAAGGTTGCAGGTTTGATCTCCCATCAGGGCACATACAAGAAGCAACTAATAAATGCATAAATAAGTGAACAACAAATTGATGTTTCTCTCTAAAATCAATAAAGAAAAAAGAATTTTAATATGAATGCAAGATAAGATTACAGAAGGGGAATGTACCAAAAAAAATAATAACTAAGATCCAGGTCTGAGAGAACTCACGTGCCTTTTACTTTACTTTACCTTATGTACTCATGGTCAGATTTGGGGTGCATCAAAATCAGAGCTTAATCCACACCAAGTGACACTACTGGCCCAGGCTACCTTCTCCATCTGGTTTTCTGTTTTTCCGTGTTTTTGTTTTGCTGCTGTAATTTTTAAGTATTTGAGTTTAAACAGATTAGCTTGGGGGTGGGGGGACGAAGATGATTTTAAATACAGTGTATTTGCCAGCTTCCTGTCATTACACAGAAATAAAGTACTGACACGAGAGAAAATAAATTTTTTAAATCAGAGCTTGTTAAAAAAGACTGATGCCCAGTCACCCAATCTAATGCACACGAAGATTTGAGAATCAATGTTGCATAACACCTTTAAGATTTAAAAAAAAATTGCAGCAGCAGTGTGGAAATGGATCTAAGGGGGAAGGTGACCAAGAGACTAGCAAGGTGGCTATCATGGTCATTTAGGAGACAAGATGGGCCTGAACCATGGAGGTCTGGTGTTTGGAAGATATTCAGGAAATAAGCAGGAAGAGCTTGGTGGCATTGATCTAGGGCGTGGAGGTTGGGGGGAGTAACTGAGAAAGAGGCCTAGGTTTCTGGCTTTAGAGACCGGTGGTTGTCACTTAAAGACTACTTTTCTAATTACAAAATTCACTGTCTAAAAAATGCAGCCCCCTACTTCCTAGAACCTCACCTCCTGCTGGAAGAGGGGCTGGGTCAGAGAGGGCAGATGTAGGTAAGTGAAGGATTTTTCAGGCCAGAAGCCACTGGTGACTTTCAGGTTCCTTACATGTTGTTCCCAGGTGGCCAAAAGAAACTCACTACCTCTGGGTCTGATCTCCAGTGGAACGCCCCTAAAGGCAGATCCCCTTAAAATAAGAGCTGAGAGACACAAAGATAAACTTTTCCATATTACTGCAGAATAACCTGCTATATTAAGTTAAGAGAAGTTCAAACACCTATACATAGATAATAAGAACAAAAACAAGTGAGACAAACGCATGGCAAGATTCTTTACCTGCAATTAACAATAACCCCGTCCGGCTGCCCAATGCACCGAATAAAAGGGCAGCCACGCTCTTTGTGTACCTCTCCGTCAGACCTCGCTCAGGCTTACCTATCGTCAGGCATGGAACGGCCAAGGAGGCCTCCAAGGAAGATATTTTTATTTACGTATTCATTTTTGGGTGGGAGGCTATTCATGACGGGTAGGAGAGAGGTGAGATCCGGACTCTAGGACCCTTGCACGGGTCTTAGCACAGCGACGCCCAAAGCCTCGCCCCGGCCGGGATGGGCACCATGAACCGATCGGGTCTCGACCTCAGCAGTCGGTGGCGATTGCCATTGGTGCAGCCGGCAAACGCTTCGGGGCGTCCACCAGGTGTGGGCACGGCCGCCGCGCGGGTTCCATGTCCTGGACAGTCATTGGGCGCGAGCGGCGGTAACTGCTCTCAAGGTCTCCGCCCCAAACCTTCCCGGGACAGGCGGACGGCCCGGCGAAGAATCTTCTTCCGAAAAGGCTTTTGCATCTTGGGAGCCAGACCTCGACCACAGCCCCCGGCCCAGAAAACTGTCAGCGGGGCCGCGGTCTCCTGTAGGCTCTAGGAAGAAGCATCCAGCCGGGCTGAGGTCCCCGCGGGTGAGGGCGGAAGTAGTAAGACCGACGTGTCCTGGGCTGCTCCCCGGATCGCCGGGAGGGCCCCCAGCGGGGGAGAGGCTCGCTGAGCCTTGAGCAGTTTCCGGAGCTGGGCCGGGCCCGCCGCAGGACGAAGCTCGTCGGCGAGCACTTCACTGAGCGCAGTGCGGTGTCCCTCGGGGTGTGACTGCAGTCGCTGCGATCAGGCACAGCGGCGGCCAACCCCGTGGAGGTCGGTCGTCAGGTCCTCAACAGGCCGCCGCTAGCGCGCAGCTCTGGGGTAGACCCCAGCTGGAGCCCAAGGGCAGCTACGGGGCCGCAGAGGCTTCTGGCGCCGCCTTGGCCAGCCCTTCCCGCGCAGTGAGGACCCCGGGACTGCGGCGGGAAGGTGCCCGAGGTGCGAGGCCGCGTGGTGTTGTCATGGCAACGGGCTCAGTCGCGCGGGGGCGGGGCGGGCCGGGGTAGGCGGGCCGCGGGAGGGGGCATCCCGGGCTGAGGACCAGAGAGCAGAGATACAGCCCAGTCTTGGGATAGAAACGTGGTGTGATGTGGGGATCAGGAGGAGGTGGGTTCTTTAGGTAGGGTCGGAGAGGCCAAGGGGAGAAATTGCAGCCCTTGACCCTCAGTCAGTTCGAAAGGCTTGACCTGGGGCGCCGTGAGTTGATCCCTGGTTTCCATAA